ACTCAGTTCACGTAGCTCCATCTGTCCACTTTAACCTCAACTGATATTTGTAGTGCTTTGTTCCTTAAAAAACAGTCCTTTTTAGTACTGTTTATGTGTAAAAATGGTTAACGAAAAATGAGGTACCTTATATAGCTTATAGCTAGTTGTTCATTATTATTATTATTATTATTATTATTATTATTATTATTATTATTATTATAGCCCAGCCAATAATCTAAAGTTTGTAATAAGCTGGTGAAAACAAATCCAATTCACTGCTTTGGCTATTCATATAGCACCAGTTCACGGCGATAGTCACCTGAGGGGCTTTATATTGTAAGGTAACAACATTACCATCTTACCAGCCTTGCAATATTTGTATAATATTGCAGAGTATTAAGATATATGTGTTGATTAGTGTAATGGAAACAAATGAAACAATGAATTAAAATCTGAATGCAATGGCAGTAGCAGGAGCACATTTAGATATTTTGGGGCCCGAGGGGAGAACTCGCCTTGGTCGGCCCCTCTACTCTCATTGTTTTCTCACTCTGAAAAACCACATCAGTGTCTGGTGGTACGCTGAAATTTTAGAAAACAGGTGAAATCAGTTTTCTCATTCGGGTTTTTGCAGTTGAGAATTAATCGAGTGAGACCGATTTTCAGCACGAAAACATCCTGGAAGGGATTCACGAAGCGTCAATTCATGCCTCATTGTCCAGGTTATCACAGCACGTGACGCGCACAGACACACGTACGCACGCCCACGCGCTCAAGGAGACACAAATTCACATGCGCCTGGCATGGCTGTGGATCCCATGCCAGACGCACTGACAGATGGATGGGGTTAATATCATAATTAAGCACCTCGGCCGACGGTTCCTGTTTACCGCTTGGTTGCTAGGCAGTGACATCAGCTGATCCCTCCCTCCTTCCTCTCTAATCCCTTCCCTCTCCCTCACAGTCCCTCTCTCTCTTTCACACACACACACCACTCTTATGCTCTCTCTCTCTGATAGGCAGCGCAGACGTGGGCAGAGTGTGGGGGTATAGGAAGAGGAGATTGCGGGAGGGTAGGTAGTAGTGTGTGTGAGGCTGTCAGACAGCATGGTCTGGGTCTGAGGACAGCACTGGAAGACAAAACAGCCGCCTACTGAACTCCATGTAGACCAGAGTGGCGCCATCCACAGATCACCTGGACCTGTCCACTCATCAGCACCCACCCAAGACAACACCTGCCTCTTCTAGAGAAGTAAGCGGAGTAGGACCAGGGAGGTGGGTCTGTTTATATTCTTTTTCTTTTATTATTTTCTCAGTTTTTTGGTTTTTGGAGTTGGCTCCTGGCTGGACCGCATGCATGACACAACGCAAAGGCGAGAAACCCACCATCAGCATCCAGGAGCACATGGCCATTGACGTGTGCCCTGGCCCCATCCAGCCCATCAAGCAGATCTCTGACTACTTTCCCCGGTACCCACGGGGCCTTCCCCCTACTCTGCCCCACGTTGGGCCCCTCCGCTCTGCCCTCTCCACCTCCTCAGCTTCTGCCTCCACGACTGCTGCTGCTGAGAGTGACCGCCCCAATGAGGATAACCCAGACCGGGCTCTTGCCGGAGCCTCCGCCTCCTTACAGGCCACCAAAAAGGACGAGGAGCCTGATGTGGAGGGATACGACTCAGATGACTCCAGTGAGTGATGATTTCCCCACTTGTCTCCATGCCACTGTTTACCACGGTGTTTCCTAACATTTCTACGCGCGTGTGTGTGTGTGTCCCTTTCAGCTCTTTCTCTCTGCCTTTCTCTTATTACTGCATCTCCATTTTTGCCACCGGTTGCCAGGCATCCCTCCAGCCTTGTGGCTTTGTGGCTTTATCTGTCACCTTTCTCTTCTCTCAGCTCCCCCGTCCATCTCTTTCTATCTCCAGTCGCCTGG